CTTGTTAAATATTTACTATTCAAGTCCATTATAGAAGATCATTAAAATGCCTCTTTTGTTTTGTAACTTTGTTTGTTTCCTAGTTATATTATCAAATCTAGATAACTTTATAAAAGTTGTTTGATTCCAGGTGATGTGGTAAGAAAATCTTCTGCTTTTAATGAATAGAAAAAGTTAAAGATTTTCAAAAGTATCTATGCCACTCTTGAAAATCTGACTCATCATTGAGACTTGTTGATATAAACTGATAGGCAATAACATTTACCAGAGTTTGTTGACCTGACAGTTAAAATATGGAATAAGTTGATCAATGTAGAGGGGAGACTTAGGACCAGGGCTCACTTGACATTATGGATATTTTTCTCTCAATATATCTAAGCTTGAAATGATATGAATATTTTTATGTTATTGAATAAATTAATGAGATTAGCAGAAAGATTAAATTATTAGTGTTCTAATAAGACTCAACGTAGCTTTCCCCAGTTTTTAATAGGAAACAAACATTTGGAAAAATTAGCTATCACTTCCTGTAAAAAGTATAATTCAGTTAAACTAAAAGCTTTCATCACAGTGTGACTACTTACAATTTTAAAATATATAGTTTGTATACAAAGTACATACAAAAATCTAAAATTACTTTGGAAATCTTGCTATGAAAACTAAATTAAGCAGTTACATCTTCACAATCTTAAAATGGTGTTTGATGTAGTTAAGTGGCGTTTACTGGTAAATAAGTCTGTTCCTTGCTACCGAAAATGGTTCTGCAAGGTAAAAATTACAAATTGCCACAGTGTTTTACTGCCACACAAAATTTGAATTAACATATGCGAATATATTTTAGAATACATTTCTGTCAACATGCCTAGTAATAGCTTTATGGCAGCCTAAATGGTGTATTTTCAACTATTCCTATAACAGTGTACCTATTTCCAGTTCAATAGCAGTTGTGCTTATAACTAGTTGTCTAAAATTATATTCTTCAATTTCTGGGTTAACTCTTGTATGGTGGAACTGGTGGCAAGATAGCGTTTAGTATAAAATGTCATCCTTAGAAATAGTAGTGAGCATCTTGCTATAAAAGCCTTGACACTAACATCTAAACGGTGAATTTGGTGGTGTCTCAGCTCTATATTGAAGCTTGTGGGATTTGCAGTGTCATGGGAAATCTCACTGCTTAACTACTGGGGCATGGTGAATGAGTGGACTTTGAAGTATTTAAGTTGAGATTATAATGCTCCTCACCAGTTCAGGTCTTTGCAGCTTTTTATCATTCGTTATAGCAAGTATTCACTGCTCAGTTTTAAAACACACTTAATTTCCAAAGTTCTGTTAGTAAGCAAGCCCAGTCTACGTAAAACTAAAATTTTGAATTGGTATTGTAAACTATAGACTGATTGGATTGGATTTGTTAGAGTTCATATACAAAAAAAGAGTTTTTATTGGGGCGGGGGCGGTAGGGAGACACACCTATGGTGCTCCAAGAAGTGATTTTGGCAATTCAGTGAAGGGTGCTAGTGCCTGAGTAGTTCTGAGCCCACACCCAGTGATGAAAGATTCTTTCTTGAAGCCAATGCATTAAACAAGGCCTTCTTGAAGAACCAGTTAGTGTGTTTATGGGTGTGTTAAGCACCGATTATTAAAAATACCTAAGACCTTGAGACCCAAGATATTGTTTATAGACAAAGTATGTCTTAATCTGTTTCACTTTATGTACTTCCCATATTACCAAAAAAAAAAAAGCTGTGTAGTAGAAACTGTTGACTGTTAAATAAGAGTAAAGGAAAATTAGAATAAAGTGTCTCTCAAAATTCATAAGAAGTATAACATATTTGAAGACAAATAGATTTTATTATCTTATAACCATGAGAATTTCATCAAAAGTAAACTGGCTACAGTTTTGAGATTAGAAAAGTCATAATCTTTCCAATGTTTGTAACTGGAATCAAGTGTCATTGTCTTTATTTGTGATTACTTGTTAATTCGGCAAAATGGCAAAGACATGAGATCAAGTACACTTTGATAGTTACGCTTATGAATGAATGAAATTAGTGGAAAAGAGGTGGAAGGTTTTTTTTTTTCTTTTTTTCTTACAAATTTTAATCCCTCTAGAACTAACTAAATCATCTCTTAGGTTTTGTCTTCAGTGTAGTGTTAATGCCATTTTGCCTAACTTGAATGAGAATGGTCACACTCATAAACGATGTTTGAGCAGCAGAGAGTTGTGGAGTCCGCTCTGCATTACTAGCTCCAGCAGCAACATGCCCCCTGATGGGCCAGTTAGCTCAAGTGTACAGAATCACTTAACTTGAGCTAGAGCTTTTTATATGTAACAGGAGTCTGGTTAGGAGCAACACTAAGGGCTGGTCTTCACTGTGGGGAGATCGGGAGATCAGTGCTGCTGCAATCAATGCAGCAGGGGTCAATTTAGTGGATCTAGTGAAGACCCACTAAATCGACGGCAGAGCACTCTCCAGTTGACACCGGTACACCACCTCTCTGAGAAGAGTAAGGTAAGTCGACTGGAGAGTGCCTCCCATCGATGCAGCACAGTGAAGACACCGGGGTAAGTAGACCTAAGCTACGTTATCACGTAGCTAGAGTAGCGTAATGTAGGTCAACTTACCCCAGTAGTGAAGGTAAGCCCTAAGTTATACCTTGAGTTAATACTGTAGTGAAGAGAAGCCATAGAATGTGAAACATTGGGGTGTGGACATAGGTTGACAAAACATTCTGCTTCAGTGGAAATTCCCTCCTACTGAACAGGAGGGAAATACCCATTCCTGTGTTAAGATCTGGCAAAGCTCTGTTTTCTCTCCAGAAGAGCTTTCTTAAATCATTTAAGTAACCTGGTCTTTTTACTAGATTGTGTAAATGAGAATCACATCACAAACATTGCAAAGACTGACAATAACAGGCTCCAAATACAACTACTCTTTTCCTGATACTTCTCCACCATCACCCAGAAAATCAGCCTTGCATTAGTGTGTTCTGAGTGTAGAAAAAACAAGCAGCACATTCCCCATTTTTAGAAAACGGGTTGGGGGGAGCCTGAGTGAATTTTTACCATGTAACACCTTTGTCCTTGTCACACACTCCACACTTCCTTCATAAAAATCCTTTTGATTTCATTCTAGCAGTTTGACTAAACCCTTAAAGGCAAGACAATCCAAAGCAAAAGCTTTCAAACTGTTCTTGGTTCACTCTGGGCCTCTTAGTAACGTCAGTAGCTGATTGCCCTAGCTTTTGTGCCTCAGAATAGTTAACCTACTATATATACATAAAAGGAGGCATGTCCCTTTCCTGATTTGCTCACTTACAACAAATCTTTTCAACCCTAAGCAAAGATTCTGACTGCAGTTTTGACATTTGTAGGTAAAGATCATGGATTCTATCCAAGTTTGTGGTAGTTCAGTTGAAACTGAACTGGGACTAATGGGTCGTGGTTTCTCTGGATGACGTTCAGCCTTATGCTAGGCCTGTTTTGATCAAACTGATTTAGGAAATTTTGCTGAGTGCAGGTTCCTATAAGAGGAAAATAATGTCTGTACTAAAATGGGCTTAGTTTGAAAAACATTTTATATTTAATACACTCCGTATTAATGTTGAATAGTCAAACCTGTTCAAATCTGCTGTTAAAAAGTGTTATCTTTCCTAATTTAAGATGATTTCTTCTCTCACTCCATTTTAAATATTTAGGGGGCTGTACCAAAAGGAAATGCCACTAAAGAATACATGGAGAGTTTGCAGCTGAAACCAGGGGAAGTGATCTACAAATGTCCAAAATGCTGTAGTATCAAACCAGAACGTGCACATCATTGCAGGTATATCATTATTTTCTTTAAAGTAAACATTCATAAAGATATTTGAAAGTGAAATTCTAAAAAAAGTGTAAAGTAGCTAATGAACATGGTCTGCAGGTTTCTTGCTTTGATTTAATGAAAGTTTTGCAGACTTTGTACTACAAAACTGTGTATATTTGTCTAAACTTCAGGTGGAGCAGGGAAGAAGCCTAAAAGTTTTAAAGGCTTTCATTGCTATTTGGTAAATTTTGTTGTAGAACAGAAAGTTTTTCCTCTTATCATTTACTCCTTTAGCTAAAACCTTAAAAAAAAAAAAAATCTTTTATATACTGGTCTTACTTTGATATTGGATTCTGGAGTTATTGTTCCGGTTACAAGAGTCATTTTAAATGAAGAAATTAATTTCAAGTACATTTGAAATGGCCACCTCAATGTGTGCTCTTCCTGAAACTTCAAAAAGGTCTGTTCAAAATGACACGTTCCTGAGCATGTGGATTGACTATTCGGTTGTTGTTTTTTTCCTAGGCAGCATGGATAAACAGTTTGTTAAACCAATTAAATATTCTTCAGTTCATTGGAGAATGTTCTGAGTAATGAAAGATGTGATTATCATAATCTTGATTAGGATGTTGTATAAAGTATAGTAAATCTATCTACTTTAAATTCACTCTGTTCCTGTTAGCTTGAAAGCATATTTTAGATGTACCTGTAATGTTCAACCACTGGAAAGATTAACTTAAATATGTCTGTCTCTATGTAAAAATAAGAGACTTGTACATATTTGTATACTATGTATGCATGTTTATATACACAGAGCTACATATGTGTAATGTTTTTAATAGCACCTCTCTGTATAGAGTAAGGCATATCCAGCTGTGTAATATATTGACAGTTTCTGCTCACCTAAAGGATGCGAGTGAACTTTTGTTGGAACTCTAAAATGCAAATCATTATGGAAATAACTGTAAAAAAAATCTGCAGTTGATATAAATTATCTGTTTTGTCACTCTAGTTGTGGTAAGGTTATGGTTGAGAAGTCACTTCCATTATAAGCTGTCTGTCTTGGAGCTGAAATCTTGTTCTTATCTTAGATGTGAATTTTGTTTTAGTATGTGGAGTGGGGAGGAAAAGTTCCATGTAAATATGTAATCATTGTTAAATTATCTAACCGTGAGAGGGGGAGAGTCTCTTCAGTTGAGCCTTCATACATGTTCTTTATACACAGAACTCAAATGCTTTTTGTTTTTAGACCTAACAAGGACTTAGCCTGTAAGGAATGGTGCTTGTGAGGATCAGAGCCTTTGATGATTTCAATTTTAAGTGTTTTCTTTAAGCAATATGATTATATTATTTTCAGAAGGTTACAATTTTACTTTCCCACACTTTTGCAAGCTCATAGGTCAGATGTCCAGATAGACACAAGCATTGTTTAGTCATCAGACAGTAGAACAGGAGCCAAGAAGTGCGTCTCCTAGCCTGGTTCCTGGAAATCTGTCTCCCAAGTTCCTCTGTAACTGGCTCTTTATTGGACTTAATCTCTGCCTTAGCCTACCTATTAAATAGATTGTAATGGTAAAGCACTTTTTAGACCTTCGATTGAAAGGTACTCATGACTATTTTGGTGTCTCTAGGAGTCTTTTTTTGAGTCGTCTTTTACATGCAAAAAATGCTATGGAAATGCTATGATAGCATTAAGATTGAAAATTTAATTGCACAGATCAGGAAAACAACTTTCAAAGCATCCATAACTTGGGGTGGATATGTAGGTTAACACTATATAGGAATGGAAAATGCTCTTGTTAAAAAGGGCAAGCAAGCTTACTTTTGGGAATCATAACTGAGATTGTAATCACATAATAGAGAAAAGTTTCTAACATTGCATTATTTTTCTAAATGCAAGTCTTTAGTGAGTGTTGTTACTTTGGTTGCTTCCTTGGGATGGTTTTAAAATAAACCTATCTGAATATATTTATTGATAATACACCAGAACTATTCATTTATTACTGTTGAAGTTGAAGAGATTTAATTAGGAAAATGAAAAATATTTATTACTTAAATGGGCAGTTTGGGGAAAGACAGCAACAAAAGTAGCAGCTGTTTTATTTTGCACTGTAGAATGTTGAGATTTTGATTGGATTCTTTTGCAACTAACTTCAAGAGAAATGTTGGTTGATAGCCCTTAGGTCTAACAAAGAGATGTGGTGAGAGATTTCTGGAATTTGTCCAACAGACAAAGCCACACACACAAAAAGCAGATATAATTTGAAGGCATGCGTTGAACAGCCCATTGGTACTGGTCCAGCAGTGGAAAAGATGATACTACATCTGAATGTATGTTATATATCATATGCTGCTCCTGATTGAATCTTTTGTAATTTAATGATATAGATAGATTTTATTTCTGAGAAATGAGAGGGAATTGACAATTTACAAATGAAGTTTAGACTGTTCTCTGAAGCATTTTGCCTGTGCGCACATGTTCAGTATATTTGATGGAGCTGTGTGGGTAGTAAAACAGCTGTGAAAATTTCTGGGGGGATTGAAAATCTCCCTTTTAGCAGATATTAGGTCAACTTTTCTATATTCTGAACCAGATTTACAGTTTGGATATCTGTAAGATGAACTAGGTACTTTCTGCCAAATTTTGCTTCTGGCTGTTTTTTTACCTTGAATCTGGAAAGGATTGAAGCTCTACTTACATGGTGTACTTGTAGCTACAGGGTTATTAAAAAATAAAAAATACACACAATTGGATGTACACATTTATCCTTTTTGGAGCATGGCAATATTCATTTTAGTGGGTATGAAACAAGTCTTTTCTATAAAGTCATTTACACTCTCAGAAGTCATGGCATAAATTTTTTTGAAGAAAACATATTGCTCTAAATTGGTAAACCACAACAGACAAAACTAGTTTAAGACCTTTGCTTTGTTCCCTTCAGCTTTCATTAAATTCTGCATATTAATTTTTGGCTGAGACATACTACGTGTTCTTTCCTACAGTGAAATTTAAGATCCTTTTAAAAAAAATAAAAATAAAATAAGTGCCTATTTCTCTCTTCCCGTCCCCCCTCCAAGTATTTGCAAGCGATGTATTCGAAAGATGGATCATCACTGCCCCTGGGTGAATAATTGTGTAGGAGAGAAAAACCAGAGGTTTTTCGTGCTGTTTACGGTGAGTACAGATTACCAACAAATTGTTCTAAATATGAAAATTGCTCGCTATCTAGCCATACCCTTACTTTTGGGGGAATTCTGCACCAAAAAATTAAATATACACAAACATTTTATTTGACAAAATAACACAATATAATCAAGCCAGTTTCAATTATTTTGGTAATTTATTTCAAAATACCTGTTAACAAGTATGTCTCTAACAATATAGACAACAAACAAAGATTCAGGAAGTGTTTTTTGACAAGTAGATTCCTTACTAAGCATATTAATACAGAATTTTGAATAATCAGTCATATGAACTACAATACAGAACTGTATTTCCCACACCCTCAGAAGCAGTACAGAGGCTTGAAGGAATCCAGGGTAACGAAGGAGCTGAGGGAGAGGGAAGTAATTGCTGGGAAGAAGCCTGGGAATGAACCTGGAGGGTGGTTGGGTGTGGGTGGGAGAAGTATGGAACAGTTTTGTACCCAACGGAAAGGGGCAGCACGTCCGGCTCTTCAGTGGCAATTCGGCGGTGGGTCCCTCAGTCCCTTTCGGAGGAAAGGACCTGCCGCCGAATTGCCGCCGAAGAATGAAGCGGCAGCGGTAGAGCTGCTGCCGAAGTGCTGATCGCGGCTTTTTTTTTTCCCGCTTGGGGCGGCCG